AGCAAGATGTGAAATTATTTGGTTGCCTTAGTCTGCTTCCCACTGGACGGGTGTAAATTTCTAATGGTTTTCACTTCCATGGCATCTCGATATCCAAAGAAAAGAGTGATATGACGAAGTTTAGCAAATGAAACAATTCCCGTATTTAACCTGGAGTCGCTTCTGTCAGTTGAGGCAGAATGTCAGTCCATAGAGCTGTCAAGCTGTCACACTTCAGTAATGCAGACTTCACTTTAACCTTAATATAGAAAGGGCAGTAGACACCCTAGCTTATTTAACGGTCAGCCGCCACCATGCAGCTTCTCTGCGAGGAAGAAGCACTTGTGCAGGGCTCTGGGGCTGCCTCTCGAACAGAGAGGCCCTTGCTGCTGCCCGTGCAGCCTTCACACCCTATGGGCAGAGAATGATAAACTTCTCTCGCAGTCTTCAGAGAAGCTAATCCTCCATCTCCGATACTATTTATTAATTTGATTAATGGCTCCTTTATCTAAAGATAAACACTTAGATTTCTCAATTTAACAACTAGGTAATGCAAAGGAATCACAAGCCTTATTCTTCATAATACCATTTTTTACACTATATCTTGACATCAAACATCACAATGTCATCTAAAACCTCCTATGTTTTAAAAGCTGGAAAACATGCAAGGACACTGAACTTTCCCAAGCATGCATGTTCAATACATGATAAAATAACGACATTTTTCTCCAGACTGACCCAGGATTTCTATTTGGAAAGCAGACTTGCATCTGAAGAAAGAAGTGGTGGCTGAACACAAATATATATCACATTTTCAAGCTACCATATAATTTCTCATCTAGTAGTTTGTGAGGAATGACTGCAACACGAGAAAAGTTACAGATGACTAAAGAACTATTATTGGTTAAGACATGTCTTGTAAGGCGAGTAAGAACAATAAAATAAAAAACGAAAGTTGTGGTAGTTTCCTTTTTCATCCTCTTTTAAAGAAGGAGAAGTACCCACACTAAACTGTCACTCCAGCTGAAGTTGCGTGAGGCTGATACTTTTTTTAATCACAACCAGAACTGTAAGACATATTTTGTTGTTTTGCATTTACCCATTAGGTATTGCTCTAATCAGTTTTTAACTGAAGAAAATTACGTCCTGTGATGCAGCATTAAAAAAAAAAAGTCTTCTAAAACTAAACCCCGATACCATTTCACACATCCTCAGTCCCTCTCTTATTGTCAGATGTTGCAATGCCACAGTTTTTCATGTCCCAGTCATAGAAAAATCTGTAATTAGCTGGTAAAAATACGTATGCAGATTCTGTAAAATCATTTACAGACAGAATAAAAATTATCTTCACTGTCTACCCCAGGAAGCCACAGATAAATAATGAAGAAACCGTAATGCAAATACTGTATCTCATATATGCATGCATGCAAATCAAAGCACAACTTTCATGCAAACTAGATAATGCACTTCTAAATGTACTTAACTAAGATACATATATATATGCTGTCTTGGAGGAAAAAGAGAGAAATTATGCCACTAATACCATGACTGTCCAAGCCATCCTCAAAGGATAAAGAAAGAACAAGAAAACTGGAGAGGGAACAGGACGGCATAACACCAAATACTTTCTGTAAAAAAATAAAAGACAACACACAGCTTAGAAACCTGAATTGCAAATGAAGATGGATCCCACAAAACCAGCAGAGTTCTGTAGACTGCTCCAAAGACCACATCATCGAGATTTGTAACATTATCTTCTGTATCCTTGAAAGGAAAAAGGCTAAAGGAAATAAAAGCATGCTAAACAAGGCTATGAACTGTCAAACAGACAGACACCAAGGAAGAGGAGGAAAAGAACAAAGTGCAGTTCAAGCTGTTATATGCAAAAAGAAGCCATTCCAATGACGATGAAAAATACTCGCAACACACAACAGAGGAAATTCTTTGTAAAACACTAAAATTCATTGACCCAGTAAGAATACAGGGAATTACAAATATTATCACTCCTTGTCTGCTGCACTTGTCTTCATCAAAAGCACAATACACTTATTTTTTTAAACTGCAAGAGTTGACCTGAACTTGCTCAACAAAGCCAACTAATGGGAAAGACAAATGTAGAGTGATGATATCACTCCTAATTGTATGAAGTTAGGACTGAAGAATAATAAGCAGAACTGAGCAACTGCGGGAACACTGTGAAGCCGTTTCAGAATTCAAATCAAAATGCTGTCTTCAGTTACGAATTTGTGAAAGCCCACACTTGTACAAAAAAAAAAAAAAAAAAGGCACCAGAAAGCCCTAGTGAAGAGTTTAAAGAGAGACATGGGTAACAATTTATGCCCGTTTATGGCATATCAAGAAAATCTGCATTGCTTGTTTTGTTTTAAACCTGTTTTCCTTTGCTTTTTTTTAAATCAGCGACTTGTCTACTTTGACTTGCCTCAAAACCTGATTCAACAGGAATGCGAACCACAGGTTTCTGACAGTCATATGGAAAACTAATTAAAACACTGAATAAAAATTATTTACTCTTAATTCTTCACTTTGTTACACCCACACAAGAATGAGGACATTGCTGTCCTTAGCAAGAAAATTCAGCTTTTTTTTGAACTTGTTTTGCTTTTATTAACATCTATTACATTCTAAGAAGATGTAAGTATTATGAAAAAAACTAAATTAAGGTTTCCATTTACTGATGTGCTATATCAGTTAGAAAGATCCTATGACCTTCCACAAACAAACCTCAGCAAAACTTAGAAGAAATACAGGATTAAAGTACTTTCTTCCATAACCTCTCTGTCCCAGAAGACCCAGTGCACCACCACCACAACCACTCACACTTCTGAAGACAGTGCAGAATTCTGTGGAAAAAGGGCACAAAAATCTCTTGAAGATCAAAAGTCCAATGACCTTTTCTGTGTTAAATTTGGATATATAGGTGCAATGTAACGAATAGCAATTATTTATACCTACCATACTTAAAAAAAAAAAACATAATCCATGAAGCCATACCTCTTTAATTTCATAATTTTACAACCCTTATGCACAAGATTTAATATGAAATTCTATCTTACCAAAAACTTCCGTAGCACTGCCATACTTCACTGCTTAAAACCCTGGGAGTAAAAAGCCCTCCTGCTTTGCTACTCACGCATGCAACCTACTAAGCACTGTATTTAAGAAAATTAGTATGAATCATGGTTTGTTTTTCATCGTATGTTCCAGGTCACACATAAACTAAGGCACTAGAAGCCCCCTCTTGTACTTCTTATGAGAAAAATCCATTAAATCCTTCTTCACAACTCTGCTGATTTGCTCCCTTCCACCACTCAACACAACCACAGACAGCAGAGAGAACGGTTATTAACGATTTTGCGGCGCTAGCATTATGGCTGAGTTAGCACATTCTCTAACATTTGAGTTTTATACGCCAAAAGATTTTCTAAAGTGGACAGCATGGAAGATGATGAGATACCACCATGCAGCCTTCACACTAAATTTAACTATCTGTCAAAAATTTTGGCTTGTAGATATATAGGTAACCGTGGCTATCATGTACTATTGCAGCTAAGACATGACTGTGTTAAAGGAAATGATACAAGGTGCTGCTTGATGGTTGAAGTGCTCCTCTAATTGCTGTTGACTTCACTGTGCTGTGGCAGTGGTGATGGTTTTGCTGTGAAACCAGGGTGCACGCCCCAAAACCCACTAGCTCTAGTGGTTTTCTATGTGGGCATGTCTATAACACACACCAGTCTTTCTAGCTATACCTGTAGCTAACTCTTTTATCCTGTCCTATCCTCTGAACTTTTAGAGATTTAAAATTCTTTATTTGTTAAACTTATCAGGCAGCCTGGTAAGAGTTCTATATGCAAGTGAAACAGTTCTGCAAATTTACTATTTACTGGCTTCACTTCAGTGCATAACGGCCACCAAAGCGCAGAAAGAAAGGAGTGCTGAAGGGAACCAGGGCCTGCCTGTGCACGTGCACACAGCCCACACTCAGAGAAGAATGAGAGCAGTAAAAGATGGCACCATTTTGTTCTCATATCAACATATTTATCTGGTATCACAAAGTGGAGCAAGCAGTCCCACTGATCACTTCATAACTCAGAATCACAGAACTTCTGGTTGGAAAAGGTCTCTGGAGGTGATCTACTGGCAACACTAGGCACGGCCAGCTAGGGCTTTTCCTAGTACAATATGGACATCTGCCAAGGATGGAGATCCCACAGACTCTGGGTAACAAGTTCCAGCACTGCAGGGCCCTCCCAGTGAAGAGCTGCAGCAATTATTAAACTATTCTTGGAGCCATAAGGACTGTTTTGTCTCTTTTACCACTGAGCTCCTAACAGTCATCATGTTGGCTATTGACAACTGCTTCTGCTGTATGTCAGACAGGTACAAAAACATGACAGTCTATCAGATCTCGTGAGATGCTCAGCATCCTTTCAGAAGCAGCATTTGTAACTCCTCCTGAAATCAACAAGATTAGAGGGCAGCCTGCATATCTCAAGATCGATTTGTCAAAGCTTAAATCCCCCACAGAAAGTGAAATTCACAAGACGAGAGGAAAAAAAATGCATTAGTGTATTACAGTACTGCATAGTTTATCTCAGTAAGTGTTGTGTATTAACAGTATTGTCAGCTTCTAATTAAAAAGCGTCACAAAGACAAACTATCTTAGAGTATAGCTTTACTATGCAGTAGGTACAGACAAAGAAAATATTTTCTACTGCTAACCACACCATTTTTTGGCATAACTGCCTTTCCTTCCAGAGTACTGCCACACTGGACTTACCAATCTTATCAAAACTTAGCTTAAAAGAAAGTAACACAATCATAATGCTAACATGTTAAAAATCATGGATGGTATTTTTCATCACCACACTACTGACAACATTTTCTTACTGTGTTAGAAAGACAATTAAAAGAATTTTTGACCACCATTTTAAAATGCTGCTGAAGTTACCACACTTAACCAATTTCAAACCTCTGAAACAGTCAAGCAATACACATACCTGCAATTGGAATATTCTGTGAGACTGACAGCTGTACATCTCCAGTCCCAGGTGGCATGTCAATCACTAAATAGTCCAGTTGACCCCAGTCAACCTAGAAGACGACAATAAAAATATATGTTGGAGGTTTGAAGTGTTTTTATCTAAGGCACTTTATAGAAAACCAGGCCTGCAATAAAACACAATGTAAAACAAGTGAACCAAGGACACCCCAAAAGAATTATACTGAGATGCCCTTTTAGTAACACTTTCAGTATAGGAGCAAGACATTATTTCTGAGAGACATACAGTCTTTGCTGATCACACAAATCTATGAGCATAACTTCACGAGCACAATCACTATTGAATTCTTTCCCCCAAAAAAAAGCAGCAACAACTTAATTTAAAACTTTTACTTTGTATCTGCTTAATCACAGCTTAGAAGCAAATGTTGGGTAAAATTCTGGGGTTTGCGCAAGAAATACGGCTTAGGAATTGTTTCCATTAATTTAAAATCAATACTGTGTGCTTCTTATCACTTCTCAAAACTACATACAAATCTTTAGTAATTTTTTTCTGGTTTGTTACTGCAAAGTTATTCATACAAATCCATGGGCCCCAATGGAATGTTATGCCCACAAATCCATGGGCCCCGATGGAATGCACCCACGAGTGCTGAGGGAGCTGGCGGATGTCATTGCTGAGCCACTCTCCATCATCTTTGAGAGGTCCTGGAGGACAGGAGAGGTGCCCGAGGAATGGAGAAAGGCCAATGTCACTCCAATCTTCAAAAAGGGCAAGAAGGAGGACCCAGGGAACTACAGGCCGGTCAGCCTCACCTCCATCCCGGGAAAGGTGATGGAGCAGCTTATCCTGGAGGCCATCATCAAGCAAGTGAAGGAAAAGAAGGTTATCAGGAGTAGTCAGCATGGACTCATCAAGGGGAAATCATGCCTGACCAATCTGATAGCTTTCTACGATGGCATGACCAGCTGGGTAGATGAGGGGAGAGCCGTGGATGTTGTCTATCTCGACTTCAGCAAGGCTTTTGACACAGTCTCCCATGATATCCTCCCGGGGAAGCTCAGGAAGTGTGGGCTTGGTCGGTGAAGTGGATAGAGAACTGGCTGAATGGCAGAACTCAGAGGGTTGTCATCAGCGGCGCTGAGTCTAGTTGGAGGTCGGTAACTAGTGGTGACCCCAGGGGTCAGTACTGGGCCCAGTCTTGTTTAACTTCTTCATCAACAACCTGGATGAAGAGTTAGAATGTAACCTCAGCAGGTTTGCTGATGACACCAAACTGGG